GGCCCGGCGCCGGGGCGGGGAGGCTGAAGCCGCGGTGGCGCTCGGGACCTCTCCGGGTGAAGTTCCACAACTGTTTCCTGCCAACTGCTTCACATACGTGTTGGAAAAGGACATGGCTCTAAGTTTCAGGAATCACAGTAGTGCGCAGTGGGTACAGCAGGGAGCAAACACTTGTGAAACTCCTACAGAACAGCTCCCAGCCCTTTCTTAAAGCACTTTTTTGTTTGCATTCAGGGAAACCGACTGCAGGCTTATTTGATCCAATTTTCTCTTTGCACCATACACATATAAAACATTACAACTCTGTATAAAAGTACAAGTGGTTCTTGTACATCTGAATTATGCAGGAACTATGTGAGCAAATCCTATCAAAATAGCTATTTTTTTTTTGTGTGTATAAACAGCATTTGTTTTTAGAAAAAACAATATCATAAACTGCAGAATCTGTACAAAAATATAAAATAAATTTGGGCAGCAGTTTCTAAACAGCCATGTAAATGCAACACTTAAAGAGGAGCAGGTTAATGCCTCCAAAAGGCTGAATTGCTAAGTCAACCTATACAGGGCTAAAATGGTATTGAGATTATCTAAATAATAAAATTTTTTACCTCTTGCAATAAAACTTATAGAAAAAATAGACAAATATGCACATGCAATTTACAGCTTTCCCCAACATAATCCTTGTGCTTAGCTTTTACAATTTTTTTTTCTTTTTTTTTTTTCTTTTTTTGTAATAACATAACATTGTCTACAATACATATTCTTTCCTATACCAGGATATTCGGTCTTCCTTGAGGAACCACTTTAAAAAAAATACATTAGAAGTGGTCATACATGGATGAAGGCACTCCAACTCTGCTTGAAGCAAAAACTAGTGTGATCCTTTTCTTTTCAAAAAAGGCAAGCAAGGACGCATGCACAGTGCTGTGAATCAGGGGTGGGAGGGACTATGGAAATACTACCAAGTGTATATACTGGTACTTAAAAAAAAAAAAAAAAAAAAAAAAAAAGTTGCTATATTTCTATATTTTAAGACCCAACAAGCACTTCCATGATGTGATCCAGTTCTGTAAGGTCCATTTTGAAAGGCTGATTTGGAGTTACTGGTTGACTGCTGTATGGAGCGAGAGTTTTTAGGAGCTCATCTGCTGAGACAGGAGCCATTTTTGAGGCAGCCCCTGTGGCAGATGTGCAGGGGTCAAAATCATACATGGACGTATCAATGTCAGCGAACAGAATGTCATCCAGGGTCAAGTCTGTGAGGAAACCTGTGGAAGTTGTTATCTCAAAGTTGCCAGGTAGCGAGTCCATGAGTTTCGATTCGGCCGTTCTGCTCTCTGGGAGGCCCTCGGGCTTCTGAACGTTGGACTCGCTGGGGTGGTCTTTAGAGTCATCGGCTGCTGTTTCGGCTGCTACTGCCTCTGCGGAGGTAGGTGCTGGACAAAGCTCCTCGATTTCGTCCAAGGCTGAAGAGAAGCTGTCCTTTACTGGTTGGAGAGCAGGAGGTGGTGGTTTTGTCGGACCATCGTGCTGGACAGTCGGGGAAGTGCAAAAAGTGTCGTCCTCGAGCAAAGAGGCTGGGGTGAGGCAAGACTCCAGGGGCGTAGTGCTTACGAAGTCAGTGGGGAGAAGGGGCTGGGAGGCGAGATGGCTGAACGCCGGCTGGGCCTCGCGGAAATTGTCGCTGAGAGGGTCGGCGGGCTGCGAAGCGGTCACGAACACAGGCCTCAAGCTGCCTTCTTGTTTGAGTTCTTCCTGGATTCGCCTCAACATGTTGTTAATTAAAACTGTCTTTTGCAAGCTTGGCTCGGTTAATGGCCTGTGGTTATAAAGTTTCATAAGGGAAATGTTGAAGATAGTCTGACGCTGTAAGGTGTAAGACACCTTAGAGGGACCGTCAGTAGGAGACACCACTTTGCCTTCCAACCCATCTTCATGCTCGTCAAACTTCCGCTTTCCTCCTTTCCCCAACATATATCTGAAAGGAAAGAGAAGAGACCGATGAAGCCAGCAAAGCTTGAAGCCTGTTCTTCCCGCCTGAATCACTACCCGAGTCCACCGAGTCCCTTGCACACATGGCGTGGACAGATTGGCTGCTCTGTCCCCTCCTCGCTTACCCCCAACAGTCACAAGTGGAAATATGTCCACACAAATAACTCGCTCTTGGCCCACAGCAGCGTGATAAGGAAGCAGAAGCCTCCTTAACGCAGTGCTCTGGTCCGTTGTGTTTAAGCAGGGCTATGCTGGTAAATTCCAAACAGGAATTCAGCATCTATAAAACTCAAGCCCTTGCGCACTTGGCAGCAAATTTCACTCTTGCATATGTTAAGCATATGGTCCCCAAATATCTGCACATAGGTGCACAAGCTACAGATACTATATTGAACGTTCCCTTAAATTTCCTGACTGATGCAGTACTATGCCTGGGAATACAAATGTAATACAGCGAGGTTCTTAAAGTGAATTTCCCTTTTTATTCAAAAGCATGTTCACGGGGGGAAGGGGAGCGAGGCTCAAGCAATTGTATACTGAGAGAAATCTTCCCGGTGAACTCGCGAGATTCAACCCTTTAGCACACCCGGATATATGCATATCTGACCTCATGGGTTTATTTAACTGATCACATAAGGACTAAACTACTAGAGCAGAAAATGCAATTATTACACTCAGAATTAGAAAAATTACAGATGAAGAAGAAGATCCGTCACGTCTTTTAGTCTAATCAGCAAGACCATTCTCTACACTACACTCCGCTGCTGCAGCCAGGGCCTTCAATCCTGACAATGCCTGGATCCCAGTTTGAGGATGGGGGCATCTGCCTCAGAAAGCTTCGAAGGAGTTTGGTGTCTCCTGAAGTGTTGAGCACCCCGCTCCAGGAACCGGGCCCCCAGGGAGCACCCCTACGCCCACACCCAGAATCCACCTGGGAACACAGGCCCTGCCTGCCCCTTGCGCTGGGGGGGATGCTCTGCGTCCCCACCTGCGCGTGAAGCAATGGCATCTCTGGCAGAGGGCTGGGGTGGGCTGCGCGCTCACCCCCTGCTCTTCTGGGTGCAGGAAGTATTTTCACAGGGCAGTGTTTGAAATCCTTTCCTCAGCTGCTGCCTGGCTAAGGCAATGCCAGCAGCTTTTGCTTCCTCTGGTAAGACTTCCAGGATCTTGCTAGCTGCAGACAGAATAGTTTTTGCACCAGAGCAAGGATGCATTGCTCCAGATGCACCATTTGTCTTCTCCTCCCTCCCATCAAAGCGTGTCCCTCACTCAGGACTACATCCATGTCAGGTTTCATTTGAGAACAAAAGAATGCCGTAGGGCTTTCTAACGAACAAAAATCAGCATAAATGCATGCACTTTTCTCCTGGTCAGATGGCAGATTTTGAAGAAGGAAACAAAGGGAATTTTACCAAACTTGCCCTGCATCATAAATCATTTCTGAGCTAAGAGTAAGTAGGACAGTTCAATCCCTGGTGCTGTATCTTCCAGGATGTTTCAGAGCACCTGGAAACGATCCTCTACACAGCACAGTCCCAGCCTCATTTTGTCACCATTATTTTTGTGACATGAAGATCCCCCCAAACACAAAGGCATGAAGGAATCGCTGTTCTGTGACAGAGGCGCAACCTAATGTTATGCATCTGAATGGGGAGAGCTTTAGGGTCAGCAACGCTCTGCCCCACACCACCACCCCTCTTCGGTGAGTAGCCAGGGTTTGGTTTGTTGAAATATCCACGATTACTTGGGTGAAACAGCACGGTCCCTGTGACAGACACTTCTTTCAGTGCTTGTGAGATGGCAGGTTCCCTCTGACTCTCTCCCCCGCTACCTGCATGGACACAGTTTACCAGACAAGCTATTTTATCACATCTAAATCAAAACTAGAAGGAGCAGAGGCTGTTACTACACTTCACTTGCCTGTCCCATGGGCTGCATCAAATCAGCTGAGGAAAAGTCCTGCGGAAACAGGGATCCTGCGGATCACAGGCACTGCAGAGCCGCACCCCGCGCTTGAATCATAGAATGCTTTGGGTTGGAAGGGACCTCTAGAGGTCATCTAGCCCAAACCCCCTGCAGTGAGCAGGGACAGCTTTAACCAGATCAGGTTGCTCAGAGCCCCATCCAACCTGACCCTGAATGTTTCTAGGGATGGGGCCTCCACTACCTCTCTGGGCAACCTGTGCCAGTGCTTCACCACCCTCATTGTAAAAAATTTCTTCCTTATGTCTAGTCTAAATCTATTCTTCTTTAGTTTAAAAGCTTGGCCTGCTTCCACATCTTAGGGCAAACGTTTGGCCTTCCGATCTCATTTTCCCCGGGTAGAGTGGTGAGGCACTGGAGCGCTAAACTAGTTGCCCTTTTAATAGGATCACGGACAGCCCCGGTTCATCCCTCCCTCCATTTAACAAAAAAATGCTAATAAAATGGCATGAAGACTTCTGCCTAATTTTTTTTTTTTAAAAAGTGGAAGATCTTTCCAGCCCCAGCTACCCAGAGAGAAGTTGTAACAGGCATAGAAATAGATTTTTAACCCCAAACCTGACTCCTCTCATATGAGCTTTATTATGTAGCTATCACCTAGCTATCGTCTAGGAGACAAAACTCGCCTTCCTTATTTGAGTACAATTCCCAGTTCCCCCAACAGGATCCACGCCTGCGAAATGACTGCACCAAGCAGGTCCAACAACAATTTGATCATCATACATTGGTCCCGCAGCAGCTAAGGACTTGCAAACATCCCCAAGAATGTCTGACAAACACTTAAAAGCAAAGGGCCCTTGTGAAGCAGGAGAGGGGGCAAAAGAAGTCAGGGTTTCAATGCAAGAAGAAAAGAGCTTCAGAAAGCATTTGCTGGATGTTAAATCCAAAATCAGATTGGGTGAAGTGAGCCTCTTCTGGTTAAAAATAAGTCCCAAATCCAGATCATTTCCTAGCATATTATGCAATTAAAAAAAGAAAGGCAAGGGGAGGGAGCAAGCTGAGCAGAGCTGAGGAACGGGTAGGCTGCCATCCAAGCTCCTTGGCCAGCTACCAGCGATCCCCGCGCCTGGAATCTCGGGTGAACAAAACCTCTGAAATTTAGCACTACTGCCGAAGTCTGGTTTTTCTCTGCTCCCTAGTGTCACTTCCATGGACTACTCCAGAGCTGTGCACGTGGGTGTGGGGTGTGAGGGGGGGGCAGGTTGCTGTTGAAATGTTCATGACAGACACAATTCCTTCCACTTTGGACAGATAGAGCAAGAAAGGGAGGACCGGGCTAGCAAGAATCAAAACCCCTGCCCAAGTCCAGCACATTTTCAAAGCAGCGATCGATTAGGAGGAGAGCTAGCAGCTTTCCATCCCTTCCTACTATCTCCTCCCCCTGAAAAAAGACAGACTCTGTCCTAAAGACATACCAATGCTCCTTCCGCAATGCTCTATTTAAAGGAGAAATTTTAAAATGGCTTGGGGACTAGAAGAATTTTGAAGTTTGTCAGGCTCTGCAAGGAATGTATAAAAATATTCACTGCACAAGGCAAACCTTTTTTCACCATGATAAAGAAAACAGACATTCGGGTGGCCACGCTCCGTTCCCTGTGCTTGATTATTAATTATTATTATCAGGGGACATTGGCAGGCATTTCGAATGAACCCAACTGAGCCCATTTGCATACAAGATTGAGGTGCTGGTAGTTAAGACATTTCTCAAGCTGATGGGTAAGAGCTATGGGATCATCATTAGTAAACACAACAATACCCTTGCTACGTCATTTTCCAGGAAGCTTAGAAATGATTCAATGTTTCCTGTATGTATGACTGTCAAGCTTTCACATTTCACTCGATTGTTACCTAGGTTGGTTCAGAGCTTGTCCTTTAAAAAGATAAAATAGATCAGGCAACTCCCAATTTCACCTACTAGCTTTTCAGCGCAGCTTTCAGTTTCCTTTTTGCCCAGAAACGCTCTCTGAAGCAAGTTTAACTACTAAAGCGGCAAAGCAGGATGCCAGCCTAAGCAAGGGGGTTTTATTCCCCAAAACAGGGGGCTCAGATGAGCACCTCTAGACTCTCACCTTTATAGTTTTAATTTATCCCATTCTCCTCTGCCATGTAAATGGGAATTGTAAAAACAGCTTCCTCCAGTTTCCATAAATCACTTTATTCATTCTAAGCAAAGCAAGGAGGTGGTATCTTTTTAGACCAACTGATAGAGCTGGTAAAAACAGACAGGCTTCAGGCTTGCAAGACCTTCTCTAGATCTCCAAAAAGGAATTTTATAGTTTCTGACCACCACAGCTTAAGACAACGTTGCCTGTGTGTTCTTTACAGTTCAAACCATCTCTTCCCTCCTTCAACCAAGTCTCATGCCTCCATGACAGAGATCAATTTTGTATGTCTTAAGATACTGAACAACATCTTAAAGGAAAAAAAAAAAAAAAAGCAAGCTGTACAATGCCAACATTTGATCTGGTTCAGTTCTATTCATCTCAAAAACTTTGCTCCTAGCCTTTCCAGCCAAAGCTCCTGCTGGGAAAGTGAAAATGCCAAACTTACAGACTGGGTTGGCCAAAGATCAGTACAAAATGAGATACACTCACACCCTCCCAAGCGTCAGAAGACAGAGCTGGCCTACCAAGTCATATGGCCGTAATAGGGACAGCCAGACAACAGCAACCCACCAAAAGGCAAGACTGGGCAGGCAGCGACCAAGGGTCACATCCATGGAGGGTCTTTCGTGCATCTATTTTGGCTGAGCAGCAATCCCAGCCAGATGTATTTCTGCTGCATTTCCATCCATCTGCCAGCAAATGTCATTTTGGGGCCAAGCATTAAGAGTTGAGATGGGATGTCACAAAGTTTTTTGTTGTTGTTTTAATAAAGGGTGTTGCAGGGTTTTTGGTATGCAAGTTAGTTTTCAATGTTACTTAGGTACATGGAACCAGAAAGCTGAAGAAAAGCAATGGAAAAACTGCATTTATCCAGGGACTGGGGCGGGGGAGAGTTACTTGGAGATCTTCCCCAATATCATCCACCAGCTGGTTCCAGCT